GGCTCCTCTCCTGACCCCCTGGCTCTCCTGGCTTACCTGTGACCCTGTGGCCCGTCACTTGTAGCTGCTGATGCTGTCTCAGGGTAGCAAGCAGGGAAAGGGAACCTGCTTGCCTGGCTGCCACCACAGAGCCACTGCTGCTCTCCTGGCAGAGCTCAGCCTAGAGTGGCAGCAGCAGGCAAATTCCCCTTCCCTGCTTGCTCACCTGGGACAGTGCTGGGAGCTGCAGGGCATGGAGTGGGCATCTGGGATGCTGGGGGGTGTGCCTGATCTGGGGGGGTGGGATGCTGGTGGGGTTGTGCAGAGCTGGCTTTAGGGAAAATGGTGCTCTGGGCAAACTTGTATATTGGCACCTCCCCCCAAGTCAGTGGCACTGCTACAGGCAGAGGCAGGAAGGCAGGGGCATGGGGTGCAGGCTGGCAGAGAGATGGAGTGGCACAGTGCATCAGGCAGGTGGGTGGATAGGCACTACTGTTGTTGTGCATGAGCAAGGTGGGCAGACTGGAGCAGGCACCACACCACCCGCACATTCCCAGCCTGACTCTTCCTGAGTAGTGGCTGGTGGACTGGGCACCACTCTTCCTGCCTGGGGAGGGGATTGGCCAGGGTAGAATGGGGGGAGATTGCTGCTGTGAGTGTGGGCTGCTCACACAGGTGTGGACACGTGTGTGTGTGTGTGGTGCCCCTCTGACCACAGCACCCTGGGAGCATTGCCTACCCCTAAGGTCAGCTCTAGGGTGGCAGCAGCAGCAGCTGGGCAGGCAGGTTTCCCTTCCCTGCTTGTTCCCCTGGGGACAATGCCAGCAGCCACAGGTAAACTGAGGCACATGGGTGAGCTGCCTTTACACCCTTGTTGGGGCTTTGACCTGCTTGGCCTCTGTCCCTTTCCTCTCACTGGTCCCCTTAGCTAGGCTTATGGTGCCAGACCTCACTTCTAGGTGCCAGCCCCTGTTTTGCCATTCTGGCCTCTGTTTTCACCCTTCTTGGGCTGCAGACCCCTGGCCCTGGGTTTCGCCTCTCTCGGGCTGTGGTTTCACCCTCCTCAGGTTGATGGACCCTGGCCCTAGCTCTGCCACTCACAGGGCTGAGGTCTGGCCCTCCTGGTCTCAGGCTGATTGCCCTGAGCCCCTGCCCCAGGCAGGGCTCAAACTTGCCACATGCCACCCAGGCAGCACTGGGATGTCCTACCTCCCCTGATAATCTCTTTGGCCCACCGGTATAACTTTTCCAGTCATCTGAGGACCTTGCCTGACCTCCACAAGCTCTCAGAAAGGATAGCTCATGGCTCTGAGATTACCTCAGCCATTTCCTTCAATACTCTCAGGTCCATCCCATCTGGCCCTGCTGACTTGAAACCATCTAGCTTCTCTAAGAAAACCCTAACCTTTTCTGAAATTAGTCTAGGCTTTTTGTCTCCTTCCTCATCTCTGCTGACAATTGTACTTGTCATCTGGTAGCTGTCCTTGTTTATGAAAATTGAAATAAAAAAGGCATTAAATACTTCAGCCTCCTCTGCATCACCTATGAGCAGACTGCCTTCCACATTCTGTAAGGGACCTACGGGATCTCCGATTTTCCTTTTGCTTTTGATATACCTACAGAATCCCTTTTTATTGCCTTTTATGTACCTTGCCAGCTGCATCTCAAATTGTGCCTTGGCCTTCCTAATTTTCTCCCTGTGTACCTGTGCAATACTCTTATTCTCTTCCCTAGTACTATGAACAAGTTTCCACTTTTTATAGTATTCCTTTTTGCATTTCATCTCCTTGAAGAGATCATTATCTAGCCAGGCTGATCTCCTGTTGTACTGTGCATTCTTCCATTGCATCATGATAGCTTGCTCCTGTGCTGTTAAGAGAGCCTCCTTAAAGGACAGTCAGCCCTCCTGGACTCCTTTACCCCTCAGAATTGCATCCCAAGGAATCCTGCCTACCAGGGCCCTAACTTTGTTAAAGTCTGCTTTTCCTGCTGAAGTCCATTGTCCTTATTCTGCTGTGTTCCTTCCTTCTTCCCTTTAGGATCTTGAACTATTATTTTGTGGTCACTGCCACCCCAGTTACCTTCCACCTTCACATTCTCAACCAATTCCTTCCTGTTTGTGAGCAGAAAGTCTTCTTGAAACCAAAATTTTGGGACTTCCTCAGCCTTACACCAATACCTATAGTCTTTTATCACACAACTGCCCAACCAGACCACAGCTTTACTGAGCATGCTCAGTGGTTTGGCGTATGCTTGCATTTTCAAAGCTGAATCCCCGATTGCAATGATGTGGTTGCATACGTACCATTTAGGCCAAGAGAAATAGGACGTATCCCTTGATCTTTTTAGGCCTTTGTCAGCAAGGTTTAAGCCTTCAGCATCATATCTTTTCCAGCTATACATATCTGTCTATAGCAGGGGGTGGGCAAAGTATGACTCATGGGCCAGATTAGGCCCACAGTGGACTTCATTTCCCAGCAGCCCCTGCCTGCATTGCTGCAGCTGGTTTCCATGGAAACCCCAGCAGGGCAGGGCCAGGGGTCCCACAGAGACCAGCACTGCTGGCAACGCCTGCAGCTGGGCAGGGGGCTGCTCTGGGGCTGGGATCTTGTGGCGGTGACACTGTGGCCTGGAGCTGGGGTCCACTGCGTTCCACTGCCCACATGCCTGGGACAGGGGTGTGCAGGCAGTGGGTCATGGCTCTGCCTCAGCTCTGTACCACACTGTCACCACGGCAAAATCCTAGCCTCGGCCATGGAATAACTCCCCACCCAGCTGCGCACCATGCCAGCACTGCTGGGGCTGGTCTTCACAGAAACCCTGGCCCGGGCTGTCACGGTGCCACCACTGCTGGGGTCTACATGGAAACCAGCTACAGTGATGTGGGCAGGGGCTGGAAATGGAGTCCGACTGTTGGCTAGATCTGCCATTTTGCCCACCCCTGGTCTATAGTCATGAAAACATCCCTTGTCTTCAGTCAGCTGTTAAATTGAGCTCTTAAAGCCTGGCATGATAAATCTTGTTCTCCTGCCCCTGACTCATTACTCTGGTCTCTGTGAAGTGTGGACGCAAGAACTAGACACAGAATTCTAGTGGCAGTGTTACTCACGCTGTGTAAGGAGGCAGGATCGCTTCCTTACTTTGACTTGGGATTTTTTGGTTGTATGAACAGGGAAACAGCATTAGCTCTTTTGCTGTAGGACTGCACTGGCAG